TTTAAAAAGAATATATAAAGAGTTCAATTTTATCTATAATAACCTAATAATAGCCCAATTTAGGAATAGGTAAATGATCTGAACATACACTTCTCAAAAGAAGAAAAGTAAATGGAGAAGCATTTTCAACTTTCTCCCGGGATCTTTTCTTTGCCTCCACCACCCTGCCAGCTGCTTCGGACAGGTTTCCTTGTTCTCTGTCTCTTGACCTTCTCAGAGCTTCCTTACTCTTGTCAACCACTTCGAGCTTGCGTCTTAAAGTGACAGCAAGCAGACCCTTCCCTGGCAGGCTGAGAGCCAGCATCTTTAGGGTGGGTTATTCGTTGGCTTCTGTGTCCCAGGGAAAAGATAGGTCAGTAGGAGGGTGGAGCAGTCAGAACACAAGCTTTCGTGGGTTATGTGTCCTGTCCCATAGAGTTGGGCTCCCATTCAGATCCCAGTACTAACATCAGAGAGTGCAGGTTGTCGCAGCACATGTGACAATGCTGGGAAAGTTGGAAACATCATGCAAATTGACAAAATCGGATTCGGGGACACAAAGTGGGCACACACTTGGGAGATTTGCTCCACGTGGGTCACAAACGTTCCAAGTAGAGCAACACTAGGGTACCTGTGGAGCACGGGAAAGCGGAAGAGCAGAGTGCTACCTGCATGAGCAGGCATGCCAGCAAAGGGAGCCCGTTTGTTCAACATCTAACTGAATTGCTGAGTCCTTGTTTCCCTACAGTGAAAAAGCCTTGCTTGCTTCCTTAACTCTAAAGGAAACGAGACACCGCCCTTTGGTCTGCCATCTGAAAGCACAGTTTATGAGCGTGAGTCATACTGAGAGAACAAGTTCCTTCTAGGAAGTATTGCCTTTCAGCTGTCCTCCTCCTCCTCCTCCTGCAGAAACTGGCGGATCTCAGTGAAATGCCACTTCTGCTGGGAGGCCTTCTTCAGACTCAGAGGAGCACAGAGCTCAGCTCTCGCCCTGTCCGAGCTTGTCTGTCCTTGGCCATCCTGGCGTGAACCTAGCACAGCGCAGCCTCACCGCAGGCTCTTGTAAGATTCAGGAGCTTGCTGCCCAACAGGACTTTCTGCGCGGAGAGCAAGGGTCCCCAGCTGGCACACCCGCCCCGAAGGGCCCTGGCGCGAACTGCGAGTTGCAGTTGGTCGGTCTCACTCAATTACTTTTCTCTAATTTCTGTTCAAATGCTGCCGGGAGCTACGCACTAGACAGTAGAGAAACAGGACTCTTCTCAACTTTTAGGTAACCTTTGCTCGGAGACTCTTACATTTAGGGAAGCTTGCTACGTGCTGATCTCGGAACTGTTCTCGAGCTTGCACATCAGAGTCTCCTGGAAGGAGGCTCTAGAGAAGCAATTTCTGAGTTACACCCCAGGGATTTCTGTATGGAGAGAAAGGAAGTGGGGAGCTGGAAAGGGGAGAAGCAAAAAGGAGAGAGGGAGGAGAGAGGGAAGGAAAGAAGAAGGAAAGGAGGGAGGGAGAAAGAGAGCCAGAGAGGCGGGCCAGAAGGAAGGAGGGAAGGAAAGGGAGGAGGGTGGAGGGCGGAGCGAG